CATGACAATGGACCATTTTGTCACACTTGGTGTTCTTTGTTTGAATGCATTTAGTTTCCTTGTACAAAAATACTGTTAAGGCAGGTTATTTGAACTGTAAGGTACGGCTCTATATTCTCAACCCTCTCCGATGTTTTCAGTGCCAGCGGTTCGGTCATTCAATGACATCTTTTTGTGGTTCTATGACATGTGCTCATTGTGGTGGCAAGGACCACGATGCCTATGAATGTAAACTGGACCCGCACTGTGTTAATTGTAATGGTTCCCACCCCTCTTACTTTAGGTCTTGCCCTAAGTGGGTGGAGGAGAAAGAGGTACAGTGTTTGAAGACCGTTCACAACATTTCCTATCCAGAGGCTCAGAAGCTATTGTTCCCTACTCCATCTCGGACACTACGCTCCACTGCTACAGTGGGAGTGCAGATGGACCACTCCGTACCTCCATCTGAGTCTTTTTCACGCCATGTGAGACATCTTTTGCCCTCCATGGTTAATAGAGTTGATAGGTCTATGTCAACTCCAATCCCTGTCCCCACTATTCCTTCCAGTGACTGCCTGGGTGAGACATCTTTTGCCCTCCATGGTTAATAGAGTTGATAGGTCTATGTCGACTCCAATCCCTGTCCCCTCTATTCCTTCCAGTGACTGCCTGGGTCAGCCTCCTCGGGCACCAGCCTCTGGTGTCTGTGCGGGTCCTTCTTTGGCTCCTAAAAGCAGAACAATCATTCAATCATGTCAGTCATTGGATTCTCACACTGATGACAGATATCTGCCACCTCGATCAAGGGCAGGATCCATGGAGGTCGATCGACCTCCCTCTAGTAAAGAAAAACGGCGTGGTCGTAAACTGAAGGGTTCCCCACCCTGTTCTCCTAAACATACATAACAATGGCCATTTTGATACAGTGGAACTGTCGAGGTTTTCATTCTAATCTCGATGTCATTAAGGCGTTGATTGACTCTTAATATCCCGTGTGTCTATCCTTGCAGGAAACATTCCTGAAACCTGCTGATACAGTCACCTTTCGGCAGTTTTCTCTGTACCGGAATGACAAGTTGTGTGATGGGCGGGTGCATGGAAGGGTGGCACTGCTTGTCGACCATCATGTGCCCTCCTTATCTGTGTCCCTCAATACACCCTTGGAGGCCATAGCCATCCGTGTTTCCTGTTTGTTCTCTCTACCTGTCTCCTGGGGAGACTTATGATCAATCAGATCTTGACGCTCTCGTTGACCAGTTGCCATCTCTCTTTTTACTTCTGGGAGAATTTAATGGACACAACCCCCTGTGGGGTAGTGCTGATATTGATGGGAGGGGTCATTTCATAGAGCATATGCTCTAGGATCACAACCTTTTTCTCTTCAATACTGGTACATATACTTATTTTCATGCACCCAGTCAGTCTTTTACTGCCATTGATCTCTAGATTTGCTCCCCTTCACTTTTCACTCGCTTTTCTTGGATGGTCGACTGTGACCCACAGGGCAGTGATCATTTTCCTATCATTATGAGGGAGGTTGGCCATGGTCGATGCCACCCGACCCAAGTGCCACAGTGGAAGCTGGACCAGGCTAACTGGCCATCATTCACCTCTCTTTCTGAACTTGATCCTGCCTTCGTCTGTCTGCCATTAATAAACTGACTGTATTGTCCAGGTGGCAGCTCGTTTTATTCCTAAGACCTCGACACGTTTTTCACGGTATCCTCATCCATGGTGGAGTCCTGCCTGCCAGAAGGCACGGAAGGCTCAAAAAATGGGCCTGGGATACCTTCCAATGGTATCCCTCTCATTCTAACTGCATTGTTTATCAGTGGGCCCGTGCCCATGCTTGGTAGGTTCGACGTCAGTGCCAAAAGGAATCTTGGATTAAATTCACTACTAGCGTCTCTTCTACCAGTTCCAAAACTGTATGGGACAAGATTCAGAAGGTCTCTGGGAGGTATGCTTCCCATACCATTTCCATCTTGCTCTCCAATGGCCAGGAAGTTGCTGATGCTCTCAGCCACAGCTTTTCTTGTGCTTCTAGCACTTCTGTTTCTTCCCCTGCCTTCTTGGCCATCAAGTCCCAGGCAGAGCGATCACCTCTTTCTTTTCGGGCTGATCGTCCCTATGATTATAATCGCCCCTTTACACTGGTGG